CCAGAGTCTATCCTGACCAGCTGCCTCTCCCCCAAGTGCTTGGAAATCAGCATCGAATATGATTCTGAGGATGAGCAGGAGGCAGGCGGCGGGGGTGTCAGCATCACCACCAGCTCCTGCCACCTCAGAGACGGGGAGGCCTGGGGCACGGTGCCCATAGGAAGGTCCAGGGGAGCTCGGAAGGCCAATTCAGGCCCCAGCCCCTACCCACGCCTCCCGGCCTGGGAGAGAGGGGAGCCAGAGCGGAGAGGCTGCGGTGCAACTGGCAGAGCCAAGGAGCCAGCCTCCCGGGTCCGTGCCCACTCCCCACCCCGGCAGCCCCCTGCCTGCTGCCGCCCGGCGGCTCTGCTTGCTGCCCACCAGCCACTCCCATTCCACGCTGCCGCCTTCATCAGCAGAGGTGGGGCTGGGCCTCTGGGCTCCCTCATCTGTCTCTTCCCACCCGCATTCCACTGCTTTGCTGCTTCTGTTGATCGGAACTAGGAGGCACCACATTCTGTTGTTACTTAGTCACCAATTGCCGCCAGCCGGCCCCGGCCTTTGGGCGGGGTGGCCCTTCCTCCCCTTAGGACACTGACTGTGATGTCCAGCGTCACCCACCCTGACACGGAGGAGAGGCCCTCCTCTCAATTCCTCCTGGGTCAGCTCTAAGCTCTCACCTTAGTCCCCTCCACTGCACACAGCTACCGGGGTGGCTGGAGCTGGGGCTCTCCACCGGCCCTTCCTTCCCCCATGGGGGTGTCTGAAGTCTCCAGTGAGGTTGGACCGAGACTGCAGGAGAGGAATGTTGTGTCCCTGCTCTGCTGTGCTGCTTTTGCTGACGGGGCAGAGCTGGGGAGCACGTGCGGGGTCCTGCCCCTGTTGAGGTGCCCGCCAGAGGGATGGTGTGACATTTCTGCCCTCTGTTGCCCCCTCTTTGCAGGCAACGGAGATTGGAGAGCCCAGAGGGCAGGACAGGTCTGGGCAGAGGGGCCCCCTTCGGAGAGGGACCCGAGCCCCCAGGCCAGACGCCGCCACCGAGCTGGGTGAGCACCTGATGGGAGCGGGGCGGGGTGGAGGGGGCCTCTCCTAGCCTCTTGGCCAGAGCTCATTATCATTGCTCTCTCTCCCCAACTTACCACAGCCCCTCCGAGGAGCCGCCCAGAAGAAGTGCTGGCTCACCAGGACCTACCTGTCAGGGTCTTTGTGGCTCTGTTTGACTACGACCCTGTGTCAATGTCACCCAACCCCGATGCTGGGGAAGAGGAGCTCCCCTTCCGGGAAGGCCAGATCCTGAAGGTGTCTCACTGTCCGGGTCCTCCCCCCTCCCTCCTCTCCTGTGCGGAGATAGAACCCATACATGGGCCAGCACACAGCTTTTAGAGCCACGTGCAATGGGGTTGTTCCTTCTGGCTGTGTAACCTTGAATAGATGAACTCTTCTGGGCCTGTTTCCTCATTGGTAAAATGGGGATAATGTTAATGTCTACCTCACAGGGCTCTTTTGAGGTTTAAATGATTCAATTCACAACTGCCTGGCACATAGCCCAATATAACTACTGCTGTTAACATTGCAATATCTATCTATCTATCTATCTATCTATCTATCTATCTATCTATCTATATTGATTTCAGAGAGGAAGGGAGATGAGAGATAGAAATGGTAATGATAAGAATCATTGGTCGGTTGCCTCCTGCACCCCCAAGCCCCTCACACTGGGGATAGAGCCCAAAACCCGGGCCTATGCCCTGACTGGGAATTGAACCATGACCTCCTGGTTCATAGGTTGACACTCCACCACTGAGCCACATCAGCTGGGCAGCATCACAGCTTTTATTGTGCTTCCAAGTATTTATTGAAGGGTTTTGCTCTTGCTCTGAGGTTGCGGAGATCTAGTTTGAGGTAGGGCCAGGGGAATGGACATGCAGGTAGTGGGTGACGATAATACAAAAAAGGCTATTTTCTTTCATCTCTCTGATCCTTATTCTTGGCCCTTTCCCCCTATTTCGTGTTCCACAGCCACAAAAGGCAGAGCGTTCTGCAATTCCAAGTGTAGCGCTGTGGGGCTGGGGCCTTGGGCACAGGGAGCAAGCTCAACTGGCCTCCTGACACAGCTGGTCTTTGCCTCCAGGTGTTTGGGGACAAGGATGCTGATGGCTTCTACCGGGGCGAAGGTGGAGGCCGGATGGGCTACATCCCCTGCAACATGGTGGCTGAGGTGGCCGTGGACACTCCCGCAGGGAGACAGCAGCTGTTTCAGCAGGGTTATCTGTCCCCGCAGGGTCTCGTTGAGGGCTCAGGTATGACCGGCCGCTGCGCCTCAGCCAAGGCCCCACCCCAGTTCCAATCCCCCCCGCCCCCCAAGCTCTGTATGTCTGGAGTATGGAGCATTTGTGTGTCTGGAGAGGTGGGGAGCCTCATTTTTCAAGAGTCTCGCACAGCCCCGGGGGCCTCACAGACTGAGGCCAGTGTGGCCACAGCAGCCAGTTGCCACATGGAGCACGGTCTGCTGCAGAGGGGATGGGCTTTGTCTTTTGGATCCTGGAGGTTAGGGATGGGAGAAGAATGCTCTTTTTAAAAAAAAACATTTTTTTTTATTGGTTTCGGAGGGGAAAGAGAGATAGAACCATCAATGATGGGAGAGAATCACTGATCGGCTGCCTCCTGCATGCACCCTACTGGGGAATGAGCCCCCAACCCCCGTCATGTGCCCTTGACAGGACTCGAACCTGGGATCCTTCAGTCTGCAGGCTGACACTATATCAACTGAGCCA